CACAATAATGTTTCAAAATAAATTCCCATTTTGTTGGATACAGAGTCTCGCTCAACGAACTAATGATTGCGTAGCCCAAAAATGGAAAACCTTCTGCTTATTTCATTTACAACCTAATGGATTCTTTGAAGTAAATCTTCTTAAGTATTAACTTCAGTCGAATAAACTAGGTCTTTTAAGACCCCCAAAAATAGAAATCCAATGAATTTAAGTCAGGTGAACGTGGCGGCTATGTTATAAGACCTCTTCGGCCTTACCACCTGTCTGGAAAATTGACATTCAACCAATTTCGAACATTGCGTCCAAAATGTGTAGAGGCGCCATCATGTTGATAAAACATATTTTCTGGAAATTGCTGGCGCACATCCAATGGTATTATATCCATAAGCTCATTCTGAAGAAAGTTCAGATACACCTCTAAATTAAGAAGATTGGGAAGTACAATAGGCCCAATTACTTGATCCCCAATTATTCCTGCCCATAAGTTCAATGAAAATCTATGTTGGAAAATTGTACGTCGAACAACTTTTGGATTTTCATCTGACCAGTGATGCATGCTATGGAAATTAAAAGCACCATTCCTAGTAAATATTGACTCATCCGACCATAATATTCTAGGAATAATATTTTCATTTGCTAATATCCACTGGCAAAACTCGTTTCATAGTAAAAAATCTGCCTCCGTTAAATGCTGCATCCGTTTAAAATGATAAGGATGTAATACTTGCATTCTTGTCTTTCTTCCTATCTAAAATTATTATTTTAGAATAACTATCAAATAGGTATATGGGACACCTTGTATACCTTTCGCCACATGAATAAAATTCTTTCGGCTTATAGTAGTGTTTATAACCGATCGCATTGTTATGGTTAGATGTCAGCTTGATTTCGTGTGTCATTTTATTCGTTCACCATATTTGTTTCTTCAGGTTGCACCCATATCCGGATGTATAAGCATGTGTATTTGCTTTTGTAATTACATATGTACATTCATATCGGGCCTGATAAAGCCAACAAGCAAAAATACGTATCACTCGGGTTAAATAATCTATTTTTTGCTCGAATCTTCTTTCTTTATTTCCTTTTTTATTTATTATATATATATATATATATAATATAATATATATAACACAAAAAAATGGACAAAATCTGCAAAACAAAAATACCTATTGAAGAATAAAGTGGATTCGAGCAGATAATCAGATAGGTGACTCAAGAGATATTATTTTTGTTTATTAGCTTCTTCAAACCCGAAATAAATGCACCTCTGCATACAGATATAACCTGATGAATCAAAGTTGCAAAGAAAAAAAAAAGACACACAACATTCACAACAAAAACTAACCTACACTTTGTAGTATAAAATAGCTAAAAAACCTCGAATTTTCAAAGCGACATCTAACCACAATCATGCAGCCAATTATAACCACCTATTATGGTGCTCCAAGCCTAAAGGATCTACAAAGAGAAAATAATCATGTAGAGAAAGATATATAACAAATAAAAAGAAAGCGCGTTCGAACAGAAAATAGGATAAGTAACCTAAGTGATACATATTTTTGCATGTTGGCTTTATCAAGCTTGAAATGAATACACATATACAAGTATTAAAAGTAAATACCACAGCAGGTGGTTACAACCAGTCGCGTAATTGTGGTTAAATGGTGCCTTGAAAATAGGAAGTTCTTCAGCCATTTTATACTACAATGTGTAGGTTAACTTTTGTTGTGGACTTTGTATGTTATTTTTTCCTCTCCATCTTCATTTCCTTAAATTATACCTGCATGCGGATGTATAGGTACATGTATCTACTTTTTTGTTGCATATATGCATTCATTTCGGGCCTAATGAAGCCAACAAGCAGAAATACATATTACTTGGGTTATGCTTGACTCAACTACTGCTTTCGGGAAAGTGACAAATTCGCTTAGAAACGGAAAGCGAGACAACTCCCGCACATCTACGGTCCTGAGAGCATAGTCTTCAGGACAGAGGACAAAATCGAGGTTTTCGGTGATGCTGTACAATGACAATTCTCTCCCTACTATGATCGTCATAATGATCTCGTCGAGGAGCAACAAATTGTAAGATCCGTCAGGAGATATTTTAAAGCCAACGACGTCAGTGATCCCGACGCCGCCATTAATGATTCTTCCTCGGAAGATTCTTTTTCGGAAAATTCTTCAGCTGAAGAATTGCACATCACATCAGCGGCTTCTCCCGAGATTCCTCATTACACACTAGCAGAGCTTCAAGGTCATATTTAAGACCTCAAAGTGCATAAAACGCCTGGGGAGGATCAAATCACTAATAAGGCGCTGAAGCTGGTTTTACAGATGTCTTTGACTTATCTCGTGGCTATTATCAATACCATGCTAAGGACCCACTACTTTCCATCGGCGTAGAAGACTACTGAAGTTATAATAATGCCAAAGTAGCTGGGTTCGATATTTTCAAAGGACTATCAACCCATTAGCCTGCTGTCTGCTCCGTCTAAGCTCTCTGAAAAGGTAGTTGTAATTCCTGACTTGCAATTTAGACATCAGTCTGAGCATAGTACAAAGTTACAAGCGGTTAGGTTTATGGAGCGAACAACCAAGTGCTTTACTTTTACCGAACGTACTAGCATCTTGCTTCTGGATGTCTCGAAGGTATTTGATAAGATATGGCACAAGGCCCTTCTCTATAAACTAATTCAAAAGAGCTTTCCATTTTAACTCCTAAAACTTTTGAAATTCTTCCTTGAAGGTAGGAAATTTCGGATAGAAATTAATAATTTCTTGTCGACAATACGGAACATCAGAGCCGGTACCCTCAGGGTTCAGTTGTATGGCCAATCTTTTACCCACTTTTTACGCATAATGTCCCTTGCCCTAACGACTGTAAAGTCTATCTATATGCTGATGACACTGCACTAATGGCCCAGTCGCGTACCGGAAATGTGGTTCACGACAGGTTACAAATTGCGGTGGATATTAGAATGGGCAGATCGGTGGATAATTAATTACTTGAAAACGCACGCTATCGTACTAAAAACCGTAGCGGCGCCTCGCCTGAGGTTTCAATGAATGGAGCCTGCTTACCATGAGGAAATTCTGCTAAATATCTCGGTGTCACTCTTGACAGAGAAATGACCTGACAGAATCACATTGAAGCGTTAAAAACTAAATTCCAAATTCCATTTCAGCACCTTTACCTTTTACTATGTAGAACCTCAAATTTAAGTTTGGTTAACAAAGTTTGGCTATATAAGATTATCATCAGACCATCAATCACTTACTCATGTGCAGCATGGTGTTTTCTTGCCAAAACGCACATGCGTAATCTGCAGGTTTTGCAGAACAGAACCTTACGAACCATCACTAACGCACCATGGTATATCTCCAACGACACCCTTCACACAGACCTCAACATCCCTTACCTAAGGGACTACATCAAACATCAGGCGCAATTACGTTATACTCAGACAGAATCACACAGCAACCCTCTGTTGCGTGAGTCAGTAGACTATACAATCAAGCAAGTTCACAAGCATACAAGACCGCAGCTCGCACTATGAGCAAAATCAAATCGTGCAATTTTAGACAACTTCCTAAATCAATTTTTGGATTAATTTAAAATAACCGAATACCAGTTAAGAATAGCAAGGCGTCCCTTAAACCGGCGCACTTCATCCTCTTTGCTCTTCTCCCTTCCTTCCTTTCTTTCTTCTTCCTTTCTTTCTTCCTGACTTCGTATGGTATCTGGACAATCAGATCTGATACACCTACTGACTCACGATACTTTAACAAAGAACAAAGGTCCTTCGGACCGCTCTGACGGACAATGACGAATAAAGGTTGAATTTTATTGTAAACTTCGTATATCATTTTTTTCCCTTTCAATCTTTGTTTCCTCAGATTGCACCTAAATCTAGATGTATGGGCATATGTATTCACTTTTTAAATTGCATATGTGTATTCCTTTCGGGTTTAATGAAGCCAGCAAACGGAAAAATACGTATCATTCGGGTTACCTATCATATTTTATAATCTAATCTGCTTTTCTTCTTTTTGCGGATTTTACCCATTATTTTTTCTATTTGATATATACCTTTCTCCGCATAATTCTTTTCTCTTTTTAGATTTTTAGGACTTAAAATACCTCAGTAGGTAATTATAACCAATCACGTGGGTTGTGATGACAGCTCGCATTGAAAAGTCAAGCTTTTCTAGCCATTTTATACTACATTGTATACGTTGGCTCTTGTTGTGGACTTTTATATCATTTTTCCCCTATCCATCTTCGTTTCTTTAGGTTACACTCGCATCTGGATATATAAATATAGTTGTAGTCACCGTTGGTAATGGGTCAAAGTAAGAGTATCAATACCTCTTTTATATTCCCTATCTCCTTCATACATACACATGCAACTTTCTCCTGTATGTGAACATTTGTTCGATACACTCACAGACATACATTTTTAATTTTGTGTCTCCGTCTCGAAAACTTTATAGTTATATATGCATATGCCCTTCAACCTATTTGACATCGATGTACAATTCAAGTTATCCTGTTATCAGTCTTCAATATAAAATTGTACAATGCCCGGAAATACGATCAATGGAGAAAACCGACAACTCATGCTAAATTTATTATTGTTTCCATGAAAAAAATAAAAAAACACTCTCCTGTTACCCACTTCATATATATATATACATATATATTCAATAAAACGCAAATAGCCATCTGTCACACTAAAATCGACCATTGCGAAGAGCGAAGTAGTCAATTATGGTGTAATAGATAGCACACTCTTAATTCAATACACCATACGTTCGAAATAAAGAACAGTCACAATGTTTTCATTCATTATCCAGAAAGAAAAAACTATACCTAGGCCATGCTAATGTGTAGCCAAAAAGCACGAAACTACTATCCATCATTTTCTGGATTTTGTTCGACTGGACGAAAACATTATGTTTATTATATTTGTAATTTTATTTTTATTTCAGTATTGTTCCTGTAGCAATCACGCCACAAAGGACATGTACTAATAGTTCAGAGATTGTTAACCATCCAACAAATTATGGGCATTGTCACAACAAGACATTGAAGAAACTACCTCTTTGCTAACAATGAGTACTTCCACAAGGATGGAAATTGATATCCCATTACAACACATTGAACCGATAGAAACGTCATCCTTACCAACTTTAAACCAACAACAGAGTGATGACAATATCACTATGACAATGGGACACGATGAACTTAATGACATATTAGCTAACCTTAATATAGACAATTTACTAGAAAATACCAATAATATAATAACCGAAAATGTAACTGAAACTATTCATCGAAGAGGGAATCATTACATGGCGGCAACTAATCATTACACAGGTCTATATACATTGGGAACTTTCACTTTTACCTGTTCTCACTGTAGAGCCTTACATTTTTTATGTGAAAAAAATTCCAGAAATGTTTATTCAAATTGTTGTAAGGATGGTGCAGTACATCTGCCTCCATTTGATTCATATCCTGAACAATTAAGAGTACTATTTCAAGATCGAGAATTTATGGAAAACGTGCGTTATTATAACAATAGTTTCGCATTCGCCAGCCTAGCTACCAATACTATAAATCCGCCTGGTCGAGGACCTTATGTATTCAAGGTAAACAGTAAAAATAACATTATGTATGGATCAAAAATAAAATTCCACAATGTAACCTGACAAATCATATCTCAGATCGAATTCATTTTTTTTTTCTAAGCAGTACCTATGGAAGTGACTTTATAAAATTTTAAAGTCTTACAATGAACACTTTACTCTGGAACGGCACTCAAAATATAAATTTTTGACCAAAATGTAAATGTTAGTATGTTAACAATTTTTCTTTTTTTTTCTACTCCTTCCTGTCAATTCAAAGCAATATGTACAATAATATATAATCATCTAAATAGAATTATCCAACGAAGTCAAATATTACCTTCAAATTGCAATATAATTTATTCGACAAATAGTTTAAATAATTCTTCTAGAAATTTTTTACTGATTTATTATTAGCTAGACATTTAAAATAGCTTACAACATTAAACATTTACAAAATTAGTATAAACCTTAATTCTAAAAATTCTGAGCTATATCGGGTTCAATTTTATTACTCTATGGAACATGATTCTTTTTGAAAGTTTACGCTCTTAGGTCAAACGATTCACTTTGGACACACGTTTACAATCTCAAAACAGGTGTAGCAAGAAATTGAAGAATTGACAAAGTATTAAAATTTATATTTTGATTTACAAACGCATATCGTTACCCTAATTGTAATACCACGTATCTATTTTGTCGTTTTACAGAAAATGATAAAAACTGTTTTACGGCGGCCGTATATAATTTATTCTTATAAATTATGTAACGTCTTTCTACTTTTACGGTTAAAATATACTTAGTTATCATTTTTAAAGATTCCATATTTTTTTGTGAAAAATATGTTTGATGCATGTTATTGCACTTAACTGTTTGATGATGATACTTAGTGTTTAGGTTTATTATAATGAAAATAGATGTTTCATTATTCAAACAATATACCAAACAGGGCTTTATTGAACATTGTTGTTGAACAATATTTAAATGAAACTAATACAGAGATTTCAAAGGAAACAGTAGAAAAAGATGACAAGGATGTTTGTCTTCCTACTCATAAGGCAGGTTCTCATAGAAACTGTGTACTTCATCTGCTAGAGTAGATTTCAGATCTTGCAAATGGTCATATTTCTTGTTTGATATTTTTAATCCATCTATATAACGTCTTTGGTGGTGTATCATACATGACTTCTTTAAAATTCCTTGAGGTAGGTCGGTGAGCTCATCTTAAAACTGCAGATTAATTTGAATTTTGCCTTTTGATTGATAGTGGATCTCTCTTAAATTAGTTACTGTTGGGTCATGTGCTTTTTTTCCTGGACTGATACTATGATATACCATTTGGTCTTTAATATCATAATTTCTGAAATCCGTATGGTTCATGTATTTAACTTCGTACGGTTCTGGTTTTAATCGCGCTTCTCTTGTTACTTTCACGTAGTCCGTGGGTAGTTCAATTTCCCGATTATGAAACTTCACATATTTCCTTCTGGTTTCTCTCTTTCCATCAAACTTGCTACATATATCTATCTGTTTTTGCTCCCAAGACATATCAGTCCAAAATTTTTTAAAAATCGACAAGCGCTCTTCATGAGTTATAATATTACAGTGTCTCTTTTTGTATTTCAAGCACTTCATGGAGGAGCAAGCTGGACCTAAGCTTCTGCATTGCGTTTCGCTATTGTGTAGTATTTGACCAGTTTTACTTCGACTATATCCTAGATAATCCTTGCCTTCCATTCCGTTACGTTTTGTCTTTTCCCTAGCCCAATGAATATTTTCAGGTTTCCTTTTTCTCTTGGATTTCTTCTGTCGTTCAAGTTCTTGTCCATCGGTACAATTTTCGTCTTCAGTATCAATAAAGTCTGAATCAAATTCGTCAAGTTCATTTTCTTTTTCCATTTCATACTCCCGATCAGCATCCTTTGAGACAGACTGGTCTTGTCTTCTAGCTGCTGCATTCATTTCTCCATATAAAAGTTCACTTGATGTTTGCAGGTTTTTGAAACAGATTGGGAAGCTATATCAGCATAACGTAGTTGGGAAACGTTGTTCTCGCCTGAAGCTGCAATTGGAAAAACTGTACTTCCGTCCGCATGCTTAGATGGTGACACATGTTCAGCATTATGTACCAATGCGTCTATGATATCTACATTCATATCATTGTAACTCAACGTTAGTGGGAGAACAGAGTCAATTTCAGAAATTCCTTTCGAAAATCCATCATTAGTCATATTTTCAATAATAACATCTTCATTTGTAAAAATGATTGAATGTGTAAGCGCTTCTTCTAAAACCTGGCTGTTTTTATTCGTTTCCAAAGCAGCGGCCAGAATCCTTTTACTTCTGCTTGACATCTATAATGGAACAAAGCTATAAGATACTAACGGCTGGATGAGGTTCCTATAAATTCCGAAAAGTTGTATTTAATTTAGAACTATACATCTTGGCAATTTACTTGAACTTGAAGTAAGCATTTTGGCAACAGCGCTTTTCAAATATAAATTTTATAAATTAGGAAATACGAAGCAAGGACATTTTAATGTTTCGTCGATTCTTTCGCTAAATGCTTGGAATAGTAATAAACAATAACTCGTATCATCCAACTACAAAAAGAATTACAATGGGACATAATTTGAGATAAACACGTATCATCAAGTTTGAATAAAAACGGCTTGTTTATTCAAAGTATTGCTTAATTACTCAAACAAGACTAATAAATGACATGTTCAGTATATTAACGCTAATATATACTACTCTAATTATGATAATTATCAACGTACGTTTGCTAAAATCAGCTTATTCCTCTAACTTGTCGCAGCGTGATGCGCACTTCGTAAGGACCACGTCTAAACTGCTGTTCATACGAGGTATTTTTTCAGCTAACTTTGTGGATGATGTTACGCGGTATTCTTTGAAATGAAATAGCTCGTTTCTTATTGGTTAAACTGATACGTGGTTTTTATAGACGGTGTGCAATACTGCTTACTTTTTATTTATGCTAGAATCTCAATTTCAGCAAATTTGATGATACGTGATATTACAATTAGGATAACGATATCTAAATCGGATCATTCAACCTAGAATCTTAATATTTTACAAAACCTCATACTTCTATAGGTACTTTCCAGGAAAAAAATAAGCTTGATCTGAAATATAACCCACCAAACCAAGTCGTGGAATTTTAGTTTTATCATTATATATATATATATTTTGATGATATAAATATTTTGAAACTTTCCATTACAATGTGTATTGAAAAAAGAAACATACAGTGTAGCATAACATACACTATAGATCAAATTTTGTGAATTGACCTAAATATATCTTAATCCTAAAGTTGATAGTTTGTGAGATGCAGGGCATCAAAGTTACAATTTTATTTTCTATTTTTCCTTTTTGCTTGAGAAGTATTTTAGATTTTGACATAAAACTCGGTATAGGGAGGTTTTCTAGTATAAGAAACAAAAATTCAATATTGTTCTTGGGCAAAGTTATACAGAGCGACAGTTGTAGTACTATTTCGGTCAATAACTTATCATAACTTTTTTGCTACTCTGTATACAACTAAACAAAAAATCTTATTTTTCCGTATTTTCACAACAAAAAAGACTTGTTTGAAATGTCTAAAGCTAATAGTTTTCGAGATATTTGTTTTTTAAAGTTCCATTGTATTGTTTATACCATGATGATACATCATTTTTATAACATAATAGTCAAATTGTTTTATACAATATGTGAGTAGCATTGCTATGATTTTTAACAATAATAAATGAAGATGGCAACAAAACTACTAAACGAAAATAATAACTACAAAAGTTGTTCAAAATGAGCACTACCTTATCTAACACACTTTCAAATTCGACAAACTAATCCTTGCTACATTCTCCAAAACGTCGATACTATTTTTCATTTCCTAACTATGGTAGAACATTTTTTGTTGAAGATCATCTACAATTTCCACTAACGTATTGTAAATGCGTCGTTTTAAATAACCCTAGAAGAACATTTCTTCTATATAAATTAATTTGAAATTGTACTTTTTGGCAAGTTTATATTATTTCATGAGGATATATTGCATACATGTAAAGATTTTGCGAGTTAAGAGCTATGTACAAATTTCTATCCTTGCGGTTTCTTCATCCGCTCTTAAACCATATACTTTTTGCAAGTGGTATGTATGGAACATTTGGAAACTTGATATTCTCGAACTACATTCCCAACCTCAACTGTACAATTTTCAAAGACAACATCTAAAACATTTTCTTCAATTTCAGCTGTACGTACAATTTTGAGAGCTCCAGTATGTTGGCCCATACTTCGAGCAAATTTAACTAAAATGCAAATGGTATTTACTACTCAAAATAAGACTATAATCATTTCTTATCAGTTTCTCGTAACCACTGATCGTTTCGTTGGAATATCTTTGAATTAGGCAAGTGACTATTAGAGAATCTGTCAGCGTACAATCTTCGTGCTTTTAAACCACTACATTTTACTAATCCATATATTAAATTCTCATCAGAATATTCATCAAACCTATATTCCATGATGGTAAACGTTTTATTGTCAACTTAAAATTATTCATAGACCTTAAAATAATCTTATGCCGAACATTAGAAACCATAGCAACGCTACCCAGATATTATCTAAAGCAACTTTATTATTATGTTGTAAAAATAATTTATCATCATAATACAAATAATGCATTGGTATTTTTAAAAATTACTTTTTACACTTTTCACTTTACACTTCTAACTGTTGTTAAAATAGCACAAAAAAGTTATGATGATTTATTTACCGAAATAGTACTGTATGTGGCGCCCTCAAAAAGTTTGGCCATAAAAAATAACGAATTCTTGTTTCTTATAGTAGAAGACCTCCCTATACCGTGTTTTATGGCAACATCTGAAATACTTCTCAAACATTAAGGAAAAATAGAAAATAAAATTGTAACTTTGACATCCTGTATCTTGCAAACTATCAACTTTTAGATTGAGATATGTTTAAGTCAATTCACACATTTTGGTCTGTAACATATCCAGTTTCGAGATTTCCCAACCTTTCCCAGTATATATTTCATATCTTACTTGTATCTTTTTTACAATACTATTTATTTTATTCATATACAAAGAACAGTTATATATTAGACACCAATTATTTCATTTTTTTAAACCACTTATAATATTAATAAATTCGTTATCCCTTCCATGAATTTATTTTTCTTTACAGGTACAGGGAGAAATAAGACATTATATATCAAATGTTTCAACAAATATTTCTAATGAACGCAGACAATACGGCAATCTATATTTTTTGGATACCGAACTGGCAAATCAGCTTCGGTCTGCTGGCCCACAAAATCGAACGGAATTAAATCGAGAAACCGTCGATGTTATTTCTAATTACATGCACAGCCACAATCCTTTTGCTCAAGCGTATAGATTTCTTAAAGATGTCTATCAGGAACAACAACATAACAATCGTCAACTAACTTTAGAATTGTACATCAATAACAACCGTGCTCGGGATATTAATTTTAGACAATATGGCGCAGTACAAGCGAATGAAATAGCAGCCGTATTTATTTCTGAAGATGGAAGACCGCCCCTGGATCGTTGCTTACATGTTTATTGTCGAGACAACGATCAAATCATCCACGAATTACCATATCTTAGTGTTAACTGCGACGCAATGACATATCCCCTATTACATCCAAGAGGTGAGCCAGGCTGGCAATCTGGAACAGCGCATCAACGTAGAAGAGGTGATGTATCTTTACTGGAATACTACAGTTTTAGAATAGCTGTTCGACCAGATACTTTCAACCAATTTGTAATGGCAGGCAAGCTGACGCAACAGTACATCGTAGATGCATACGTAAAAATAGAACAGAGTCGATTACAATTTATTACTGAAAACCAACCACGCATCAGGCAAGAAATATTCCAAGGACTAATCGACTATTTAGACTCTAGACAACTTGATGTTCACTATCAACCAGGCAATATTTTCATCCTACCGTCAACATTCATAGGAAGCCCACGCGCATTTAGACAAAATTATTTGGATGCCATGTCTATAGTCACAAAACATGGGAAACCAGATATTTTCCTAACATTTACTTGCAATCCTGTTTGGCCTGAAATTAGGAATAACCTAGATACAAACCAACATTCCTCAAATAGGCCCGATTTTGTTTCGAGGGTGTTTAAGAGCAAATTGAAGGAATTAATAGAAGATATTGATAAACGACATGTCATGGGAATTTGCGTTGCTTACGTTTACGTGATAGAATTTCAGAAAAGAGGCCTTCCTCATGCGCATATGTTGATTTGGTTGGAAGGATCAGATAAAATCTTGGACTCTGCAGCAATCGACCGTTTAATTTCAGCAGAATTTCCCGACCCTATCACGCATCCCAACTTGCACGAATTGGTCAAAGTACATATGCTTCATGGACCTTGTACTGCTGCTCGATGCTTAGATGACGAAGGACAGTGCAGCAAACAATTCCCGAAATCTTTGCGTGAAGATACATTATACAATTCCTCTGGATATCCGCTATATAAAAGACGGCCAATAGAAGTACCTATACACATAGGTAGAAGAACAGTAGATAACGGTTGGGTTGTACCATACAATGCTTATCTACTTGAAAAATACGAAGCTCATATTAACGTAGAGGCTTGTTCTTCAATAAAAAGCGTGAAATATTTATTTAAATATATATATAAGGATTTGATAGAGCTCAAATTGTCGTGCGAACTGTAGAGGAACAAGACGGTCAAACAACAACTATTCAGGAACCTATATACAACGAAATTCAAACGTTCATGGACGTTCGCTATGTTAGCGCACCTGAGGCAATGTGGAGAATTTATACATTCGAAATGCACGATATGTCTCATGCTATCATCAAACTTACTGTACATCTTCCCAATATGCAACAAGTCTATTTTAATACAAATAGTACCATCCCTGACGTTGTAGAAAGAGCCGCAACACAACACACTACGCTAACAGGATGGTTCGCTTTGAATGTACAAGACGAAGAAGCTAGGCAATACACTTACGTACAAATACCTTATAAGTATGTGTGGAAAATAAGTCAAACAAGACATTGGGTAAAACGTCAACGAAATTTTGATCGTTTAATTCCTAGGTTATATTTTGTTCATCCTAGAGAAGGTGAACGATTTTATCTTCGTCAACTTCTTTTGCATAAAACAGGATGTAGATCATTCGAAGACCTTCGAACTGTACATGGCCGTACGTACGAAACGTTCCGTGACGCTGCTATTGCGATGAACCTTCTCACGGACGATAGCATTTGGTTTTCTACTTTGCAAGAGGCTATACGCGTAGAAATTCCACGAGCTCTTCGCCGTATGTTTTCACAAATGTTACTTTTTTGTGAAATCGAAAATCCGTTAGCATTATGGGAACAATTTAAATATCATTTATCCGAAGATTATATACGACGCTTAAATAATAACGAACTAGCCTACAACTATGCTTTGGCTTACATCAATCGATATCTAACACTACAAGGTTAGTATTTCTATCAATAATTAGTTTTATTAATTCATTTAAAATTGATGCCTATGTTTTCAAATAACTTTTTATTTTTACTTTACATTTTTTCCGTATTCGAAATTTTTTAAATTTAATCATTTTCTAGGTAACACTACCGTGCTAAAAAAATATGAATTAATTCATTACGTCAATATCTTTAACACTATTAATTTAACATAACATAATACATTTTTTATTTCAATCGATCTTATACCTATATTACATTATTTTAAAATAATATTAATGTGAGTAATTTCCCAGTATAATTATATAATATTTGTTCAATCACATACATTTTTATTTTTAGGCAAATCAAATAGAGACTTTCAACTACCCTTACCCACTGAACCAGTAGAACACCTAATCGAAGATGAATACAATTATGACCAAGCAGACGAACAACAAATTGCTAATAGGAACATTCCTCTGTTAAACCAAGAACAACGCCTTATTTTTAACGACATACTTTTGGCCCTAAACGAAAACGAAAGGGTTCCACATCGTCTTTTTTATTAACGGAATTGGAGGTGCAGGAAAAACATTTCTGTTGAATACACTACTGGCTTACTTACTAGGAAATAATCACCGTTATATTGCTATGTGTTATACTGGCATCGCAGCCAGCTTATTGAAAAATGGCCAAACGATTCATTCTTCTTTTATGTTACCGGTTCCATTTCTAGAAAATTCAACGTCGAGGATTCGCAATCAGAGTACGATTGCTGATAATATTAGATATTCAAAAATTATTGTCATTGATGAAATATCTATGGTACATAAAAGTATATTCAATGAGATAGATAGAAAGACAAGAGAAATAATGAACAATGACATTCCATTTGGCGGCAAGATTATCATAATTCTAGGTGATTTCAGGCAATGCGCACCTATCGTTCCGTTGGCAGGCAAAAATGAAACTATTTCTGCATCAGTGAAATGTTCCCAACTATGGCAATACTTTGTTCAGTACGATCTTGTTACGAACGTTAGAGCATTGCCACAAGAAAACGAATTCAAAGATTGGCTGATGACCATAGGAAATAATTCCGAAATTTTACGTCGCTTAGAAAATAGCAGAGACACTATAGTTAAAATTCCTAATCGTATCATTGTAGAAGATGTTACTGAAAGCATATACGGTAGTAATTTAACTGAACACGATTTCACATTATTACAAAAAGCGATTTTGTCTCCACTAAACATTCATGTCAAGGATATCAATTCAGTTGTTTTAGAAAAACTGCCAGGTAGGTCACGGCAATACCTAAGTGTCGATAGTATTATCCGAGAAGACGATACAACCGAAAATGCTGCTGATGATTTAGATTCCGCATGGCCGCAAGACTTTTTAAATTCTTTGGATGCTCCAGGACTTCCTCCCCACATACTTACACTAAAGATTGGCGCAGTTATCATTTTAACGAAGAAATTTAGATGTGAAGAGAGGCTTATGTAACGGCACACGTTTATTGATTCATAATTTACACGAAAATTTTATAGAAGCGAAACGAGTGGAAGAATCTAATAATGAACCTTCGATCGAATTTATTTCCAGAGTTGATAATATCGCTCTAAATTCTCTTGATCTACCAGTCAACTTGAAAAGGAGACAATTCCCTGTACGTCTGGCTTTTGCAATGACAATTAATAAAAGTCAAGGTCAAACTTTGAACAGTGTCGGCTTATTTTTACCAGTAACAGTATTTGATCACGGACAACTGTATGTTGCACTATCAAGAGCAAGAAGTTTTGAAAACCTCAAGATTCAAATGATAAATATAGGTGACCGTCAACATGTAGCTGAAACTCCAAATAATCACTCTTACACTGTTAACGTAGTATATAATGAGCTATTGCAAAGCAGCATAATCCAGTAAAATGAAGAGAAATAATAAGAAATTCTTTCTTGGACAAATATACAATATGGAATGTAGATATATTTCAAAGACCATTGTACTCAAGCGCTACAAATGCAAATAACATAAGGAAATAGAAAAGGTTGATCTAACTATAAAGTACAACATAAATGGTAGTGGAGGAACCATAATTTCACAAGCAAAATCATGTTACCATATGCTATTCTGTGTATTCATACTTACTACAATACTAATGGGTCAAATAAGGACTTTTATGTAAGTTATACAAAATATTTTTCACAAATATTCTTCTGAACATCTTATTGTACATTTTAATCCCTTTTTTTAGATGAATCGTTAAAAAAATAAACTATGCAAGGAATATGAACGATGAACCTACAAGCTACAAACTACAATATTAATACTGAAAAAAGGATGCATAGTTTGCAACAACAGATGGAGATAGTCCGAGAAACTTTTCAATACAAACTGCAGATTAGACCATCAACAATCTTTCCATTTTTAGCTTTATTTTTCAGTTTATTTAAAATTATACAATATGGAATGTAGATATATTTCAAAGACCATTGTACTCAACCGCTACAGAAGCAAATAACATAAAGAAATAGAAAAGGTTGATCTAACTATAAATTACAACATAAATGGTAGTGGAGGAACCATAATTTCACAAGCAAAATCATGTTACCATATACTATTCTGTGTATACAATACTAATGGGTCAAATAAGGACTTTTATGTAAGTTATACAAAATATTTTTCACAAATATTCTTCTGAACATCTTATTGTACATTTTAATCCCTTTTTTTAGATGAATCGTTGAAAAAATAAACTATGCAAGGAATATGAACGATGAACCTACAAGCTACAAACTACAATATTAATACTGAAAAAAGGATGCATAGTTTGCAACAACAGATTGAGATAGTCCAAGAAACTTTTCAATACAAACTGCAGATTACACCATCAACAATCTTTCCATTTTTAACTTTATTTTTCAGTTTATTTAAAATTATACAATATGGAATGTAGATATATTTCAAAGACCATTGTACTCAACCGCTACAGAAGCAAATAACATAAAGAAATAGAAAAGGTTGATCTAACTATAAATTACAACATAAATGGTAGTGGAGGAACCATAATTTCACAAGCAAAATCATGTTACCATATACTATTCTGTGTATACAATACTAATGGGTCAAATAAGGACTTTTATGTAAGTTATACAAAATATTTTTCACAAATATTCTTCTGAACATCTTATTGTACATTTTAATCCCTTTTTTTAGATGAATCGTTGAAAAAATAAACTATGCAAGGAATATGAACGATGAACCTACAAGCTACAAACTTCAATATTAATACTGAAAAAAGGATGCATAGTTTGCAACAACAGATGGAGATAGTCCAAGAAACTTTTCAATACAAACTGCAGATTACACCATCAACAATCTTTCCATTTTTAACTTTATTTTTCAGTTTATTTAAAATTATACAATATGGAATGTAGATATATTTCAAAGACCATTGTACTCAACCGCTACAGAAGCAAATAACATAAAGAAATAGAAAAGGTTGATCTAACTATAAATTACAACATAAATGGTAGTGGAGGAACCATAATTTCACAAGCAAAATCATGTTACCATATACTATTCTGTGTATACAATACTAATGGGTCAAATAAGGACTTTTATGTAAGTTATACAAAATATTTTCACAAATATTCTTCTGAACATCTTATTGTACATTTTAATCCCTTTTTTTAGATGAATCGTTGAAAAAATAAACTATGCAAGGAATATGAACGATGAACCTACAAGCTACAAACTTCAATATTAATACTGAAAAAAGGATGCATAGTTTGCAACAACAGATGGAGATAGTCCGAGAAACTTTTCAATACAAACTGCAGATTACACCATCAACAATCTTTCCATTTTTAGCTTTATTTTTCAGTTTATTTAAAATTATACAATATGGAATGTAGATATATTCAAAGACCATTGTACTCAACCGCTACAGAAGCAAATAACATAAAGAAATAGAAAAGGTTGATCTAACTATAAATTACAACATAAATGGTAGTGGAGGAACCATAATTTCACAAGCAAAATCATGTTACCATATACTATTCTGTGTATACAATACTAATGGGTCAAATAAGGACTTTTATGTAAGTTATACAAAATATTTTTCACAAATATTCTTCTGAACATCTTATTGTACATTTTAATCCCTTTTTTTAGATGAATCGTTAAAAAATAAACTATGCAAGGAATATGAACGATAAACCTACAAGCTACAAACTACAATATTAATACTGAAAAAAGGATGCATAGTTTGCAACAACAGATGGAGATAGTCCGAGAAACTTTTCAATACAAACTGCAGATTACACCATCAATCTTTCCATTTTTAGCTTTATTTTTCAGTTTACTTAAAATTATACAATATGGAATGTAGATATATTTCAAAGACCATTGTACTCAACCGCT